AATATGTTTTTAAAAATACGGAAAATTTTAAAACGTGGGTAAGACATGTCAACATAACGTCTAATTAGAGATCCAATTTAAAGATCCGGGGGAAATATGAGCAAAAGAGAGACATATTTTGCAATCTTGTTTTCTGACCTAAAAGCAACCTTGGACTCTAATATTAGGTGTAACTTCCCCTCACCTTCCTCCACCTCATTTCCATCTGCCCACACCAATTCTCGTCATGAGGGGGTATATATCATGCTAATCTTCAAGTTTAACCTTTGCCTAATGCTCATCCATGACATGTTATTCGCTGCCTCGATAGACCTATATAACGCCATTCTCTTATCTCCCACATACGCAAACAAAAAATAAAGGAATGGTTTTAACTAAGAAAAATGATGATTGTTAAGAGTAACATAAATGATAAACTACACTGTGTCACCGACTAATGATATCCCAACAAACTATATAGAATTCTCACTTTTGACCACGAATACCTAAGAGCACATCTGTATCGTTGGTTTTGCACTTTTTTCGATAAAATGAGTTTTCTAAATATACTTCCAATGCTTCCCCTTCGGACCTGTCGGTGGTGCTTTTTCTGCCTTTGTAGTGGAGCTCCTCTGCCCGTCTAAGTGCCCCCTCGGCCCTTCTAATCGTGCCCATTTGACCCTTTCAGTGATATCCCTTTGGTCTTTGCAATGGTTCCCTTTTGCCTTTCCACTGCTTGGCCCTTTCAGAAATGACCAAATGGTCCTTCCGGTCTTTCCAAAGGTGCCCTTTTGTCCTTTTAAATAAGGTCTCTTCTGCCGTTCTATGGTCCATCTCGGTTTTTCCAAAGGCGTTCCTTCGGCCCCTTTAGCGGTGCCTACCAAATCTTTAAAAAGTGAACATTTGTAAAAAAAAAAAAAAAAAAAAAAAAAAAAAAAAAAAAAAAAAAAAAAAACTTTCAAAAGCGCCGCGTTTGACCTTCAAATGGTCACCTTCGGCCCCTTCAACTGTGTTCCTTCGGCCCTTCCCGTGGCACTCATCAACCTTTTAAAGGTGGCCCTTTGGCTCTTCCACTGGCCCTCGACCCTCCCCCTTCGTTCCTTCCAAAGGTGCCCCTTCGGTCACTCCAATGGTGTCCCTCCACCCTTTCAAAAGTGTCCCTTCGGATCTCCCAATAGTGGCCCTCGTCCCTCTCTCAGGTGGCCCTCCACGCCCACAAATGGTGTCCCTCGACCGCAAGCATACCCCTTTGGTCCTTCGAATGGTGACCATCGACCATGCCAAAGGTGCCACTTCGGACATTCAAATGATCCCCTTCGGCCCTTTAGTGGCACCCCTCGGCCTTTCCCCTGAAACCCCTTTAGGCCTAAAGGCTTATGTACCTTATCTGACATCTGAGCTACGCCAGATAAAGCTTAAAGATAATTTACCAGGTGTAATAAACAAACAATAGCCAGTTAACCTTTCTTTATCATAATGCTGCGTAAAGAGTATCGGCGAATACACGTAAAAAAAAGGAAAAAAAAAAAAAAAAAAAATCAGTGGTAAAAAATTCCATACACTGAAAATGTACAGTACAAGGAAATATATATACGTGTAGCACAGAAGCACAAGCATGTGCATGATGTCTGATGCGACATTAATTATTATTTTCTATGAGTGCAATGAGCTATGAAAATTACAGGAACGCGTTATTCAATTAAACGCGATCAAACTTCCTGGCACATATGTATACTTACAGAAAATAGATAATATATTATGTATTAATGCATAGATACTTAGAGAGAGAGAGAGAGAGAGAGAGAGAGAGAGAGAGAGAGAGAGAGAGAGAGAGAGAGAGAGAGAGAGAGAGAGAGAGAGAGAGAGAGAGAGAGAGAGACGGAGAGATAGACAGATAGATAGAGAGAGAGAAAGGGAGAGAGACAGGCTAATTCTGCTTTTGATTTTGGCAATGTCTGCTTGTACACGAAACATGGCTTGTACCAGAATAAGAGTCGGTATTTTTCCATTGCGCAATATGTTCAAACGCAAACTAGTGACCCAAGGCTGTGCAGACACAGATATGCACACGTACACACATTCATGATCCATGTATAGATATGCATGAACATACACGCACACACATATAAGCAAACGGGCTATGTACGTATGTATGCATGTACTAATTAAATAAAACATGCATTCACATGTTATATAATCAATGAGCCACATATATGCGCGACGGTTGAATATAATGCATAAATAAACTGTGAACTATTTCAGGTCTTCGACGATACAATAATGTAAACATTAATTAAAACAATTAACTTCACTTGTCACATCCAGTGAAATGATTAACACAATTAACTTCATTTGTCAAATCCAGTGAAATGATATTACGTATAATTGTAGACGACTACAGAAATTTCTTCGGTGGTAACTTTAAAAGAATGTGAACGAACGCAAGAAAATAGATGGAGAGAAAACCCGCTTTGAATCTCCTCGGTATTTACATGCAGTATTTAATTGGCGTCTGAAAAGA